TTTCAACTGAAATCTCCCATTTTTTTTTTTTTTTTTTTTTTTTTTTTTGGTGTACTTATACCTTTGCCTTTTTGAGTAGTGGGCAGCAGTGGTGTGAAGTCTTTTACTACAGCTCTTAAGTCTACACTTCTTTGGTGTCAGAGTCCCCAACAACTCTATAATGCTCTATAAAGCTTTGTAGCCAAAAAAATCATTAGGAATACTGAAAGGGTCCCCTTTGAAACCCAGAATCAAAGCATCCCCCAGAGAGGAATCAGCTGTACATTAGCTCATGCCTGGCAGAGCAAGTGAGCACCGTGCAGCTCTGAAACCTGTGCGGATCCCTCAACGCATCCATTGTCTGCAGGACCTCTGGATCTATTCACCCAGTTCATCAAACATGGTACCTTATGCACATTTACTCCCATGCATGTGGGACAAAACAGGCCTGTTTGAAGTCAACATTATCTTAGCAATCATTAAGCTTGGCTTTTCATGCTGCAATCCCCATTTTTCCCACTTTTGGCAACACCTTGTGTGCACGACTCTTGCTGCGATCCCCTGAAAGAGAAGCAGAGATGTTCACTCCCTGGTATTGTTTAACATCCAAGAAATAAAAAAAAAAAAAACTCTAAAAAATTTGCTGAACAAACATCACAAAGACAAATAAAGGAGAATTGTTTTTCAGGAGGTACGATTTATGTGTGTGTGTGTGTGTGGGTGTGCAATTAAATAATGAAGGCGAACCCAGATTTATAATGTCGTCGTGTTATTACCTAAGCACTCAAATTCTGCATGCTGGTCAGTTTTTAAGTAGTCTGCTGGTTAATATTTATTGTCTTTAACCAGCAATATTATGGACTAGAAAGTTGTGATGACAAGTAGTAACAACTGGCATTCTCTCAACAATTCCACAATAAGAAAAGAGGGAAGTAAGATAATATCAGCCAGCTTCCTTTTGAAGAGGTTTGGTTAAGTCAGAATTCTTCGTTTGAGAAAATTACAAAGCAAAACTACTTCAGACTATTCTACCTAGCATGGGAGGAAGATAGTAGATATTTTTAATGTTCCTAAAATAATCACATCCTATTGTACCCTGCTCTAGTAAAAGGTATACTGAAGTAAAACACTGCTTTTTTTTTTTTCCTTCTGAATTGTGAGAACTGTTCAAAGACCCTTTGCTTCAGTTCATAACAGAAGTAATCAAATGTGTTTGAGGGATGTATAGTATACCCTGGCCATAGACTGAAACACAGGACACAGTCAGGCCCAGGGCTTTGATTTGTCTTCAAAGATATTCATATCAACTACTGACATAAAGGTGACTCCAAGAAGAGTTTGTGATTTTCATTACAATACACTTGACAAGCTTGGAGCCTAAATTTTAATTCTTTACTCCATTATTAACCTTACATATAAACTTGCATGCATTTATCCATGCAGTTTCCAGTTTTCAGTCCCTAGAAAGGAGATGGGAGCACTTACATATCTTTGGGGATTAAGATCTAATCCTGGAGGGATTCCAGGCTGGCAGCATTTTGTACTTGTAAAAAGCACCACTACAGCAATTGTGAATAAACATAGGTACCAACAGGTCCTCTCAAGATTGGTATATGTTGTTAAAATGCTATTCTGGGGCAATAATATTATCATAGAATCATTAAACCATTTAGGTTGGAAGGGACCTTAAAGACCACGTTGTTCCAACTCCCTGCCGTGGGCAGGGACATCTTCCACTAGACCAGGTTGCCTAAAGCCCCATTATCATGTAAATCTCATAAGTTATTAATTATTAATAAAAAAGGTGCATTTCGCATCATTGAGTGAAAGCTGCTATATCAGGATAATTCATAAATCTTTTTTGAGCCAAATTTCAACAAAGCATTTATAGTTTTTGTACATTCTTGGTTGATTAATTCTGCAAAATTACATATACACATATAATCTCCATTTTGCATATGCATATGCATTTGCTTATACCTATCTCCAAATTACAAATGGCATAAGCACTGTAAAATTTGCATACATCCAAAAGAAGACTCCTGCAGGAGAACTTTTAGACATGTGACCTCTTCTAAGTTACACCAGTAATATATAAAAAATTCCCTGTCACTTATGATATGGAGCAAAATGAAAGCAGAGGTGATGAAAGCGCTTGCTTGTGACTGAGAAAATAATACATTCTTTGGTCCTTCCCTGCAAAGAAAATATTTCTGCCTTTTTTTTTTTTTTCCCCCTCATTTTCCTTCTTCTCTTACACTAACTGAATGTGGGTGGGAAACAGTAGAAACGGAAAGGGTCATGTTTGCTCCTCAAAATTTGAAGACGGTGTTTTTTTCCTTTGCCACAGATGCTCCGTGCTCATCAGTTGCCGTGTACTTCTGAGAGAGAAAAGAGAGAGAGAAATTGCCAATAACATTGGTAACCTTAAGTGTAGGCATGCATAAAAATTTGCTGAAAATTGGGTTGTGGTACATGTTCTTATTTTAGATTTGCCCTTGTTAACGTCTTTTTAATAAACAGGTGCATACACTTCCCCAAGCTGTCACTGTTGTTTATCCAGTCTGCACACTTTATAAATCTACTAATGGAATAGACCCAACCATCTCAAGGATCTGTGCTTTAATAAGCTACAGTCACAAAGTTTTCAGGAAAATACTTTCTGGCACTATAGTTCTGCTGGATACAAGCTTCACAAGGTTTGTTTTTCAAGATAAAAAAAAAAAGTGACACAATTTCACTTTTCAGCACAACGTAATAGAGAGTTTCAGACATGCTTGACATTAAGATTAGCAACAAAGTGGGATGGGTGGAAGGAAAGGGAAATAAAAAGGTGTAAGAAAGGTGGAAAAGGCTTTTTTTTAGTGAAGTTTGAAACCAAGAGGATGCTTCCCACTGAGCACCTGGACCAAGGAGGTGTAAACTCAGAGCTACTGTCACTAGGCAGCATCAGCCCTACTCCCAAAGTTTCATTCCTTTCTCCACCTCTTGACCCAGGACAGAAGAGCCCATCACGAGACAACTGAGACACTGTTTTAAATTCCTACCAATTCCTAGTTTTAATTTCAACTGAAATCTCCCATTTTTTTTTTTTTTT